ACACAAGTTTATTGTGACCATTCTTCTGCCACTAACACAAGTTTAGTGTGACCATTCTTTTGTTATTTATAGAACTTTTGACATCTGAAAAAATATTACTTGTGTTTCCTAATGAAAGTGAATGAACTGATAAATATTTATAACTATTCAAGGATGCTCAGGATATAATGAAATCAGAAAAAATCAAGCTTGCCATGGAAAAGATACAGGAATCAAATATAAAGAAAGTGAGTTTCAGAATTGTTGGTAGTTTATGAACTTGAAGCTAAAATGATATTTATATTAATTTATTGTGTTAAGTACATTGTGGTGTTCGATAATGTCATAAAAAAAAACTAGAACTTTGTCTGTATATTTAAACTTTAACCACTACGTCCTCTTCTTTGTGTCTTCGTTTTTATGGCAGTTATCTCAAATGAAATGAATTATATAAAATGAGTTAAATTGTTATAAGTCTGTGTTTTCCCAAGGTCCTGATAGCTGTTAGAAACGTGTTTGGAAATATTAGGTGTGGCCTTTGATTGCTGCGATAAAGTTCAATTAAATGAAAAAGTTACTTTCACAGTATAAATATGACATTTCAATAATGACGATTTTAGTGTCTTATTTATGATAACTTTAAAATAACATATAAATTGTGTTCACAGAGCCAACCAAGAAACAATTAAAAAGTATTAAATATTTTTTCCTGTGACTACTTATTCTGGTTTTTTTTATCAGATTTTCTTTGACACCACTAACATTATTGTTCAGTTCATATAATAAATCAGAGTTTTAGTTAAATATTGGATAAGTTATTATTTACTCTTTCTTTCACCTAGCATTCTCTCTATTATCTGGGCATAGAACTTTTTCTGTCAATTAATAGTCTGAAAACGAGTGAATTGGGATACACTAAAGTAAACCAAAGTAGGCAACGTGTCTTAGTGGCTTCACGCTTTGGTCTCACAGTTGGATGATTGCAAGTTCAAGACTGGCTTGCATCATTCTGTTGTGTCCTTGATACCCAGCTGTATGATGGGGGTTAACCTGCAATGGACTGGTATCCCATTCGTGAGAAATATCATCATTCTAATCCACCAATAAAGTTGAAGTTCAGCACCAGATGCTATGTGGCTTCCATCTTGGCATGGGAGGGATATGACCTTGACCTTATGTGGTGTAGGATCTAACAATAGTTGGCTCTCAACCCGTGTAAAAGAAAAATCCTTTTTTGACAGTAAAGAATGTATGAAACTAGAATATCAGTGCAAAACAATGTATAGAATTAGAACGTCAGTGCAAACAATGTATAGAATTAGAACGTTGGTGCAAAACAATTATAGAATTAGAACGTCGGTGCAAAACAATGTATAGAATTAGAATGTTAGTGCAAAACAATGTATAGAATTAGAACGTTAGTGCAAAACAAATTATAGAACTAGAACGTCAGTGCAGAACAATGTATAGAATTAGAACGTCAGTGCAGAACAATGTATAGAATTAGAACATCAGTGAAAAACAATGTATAGAATTAGAACATCAGTGAAAAACAATGTATAGAATTAAAACATCAGTGCAAAACAATGTATAGAATTAGAACATTGATGCAAAACAATGTATAGAATTAGAGCGTCGGTGCAAAACAATGTATAGAATTAGAACATCCGTGCAAAACAATGTATAGAATTAGAACGTCGGTGCAAAACAATGTATAGAATTAGAACGTCGGTGCAAAACAATGTATAGAATTAGAACGTCGGTGCAAAACAAT